ATCTAACACAGGATATGATGTGACCTGTGACTAATCTGTACATTTGTGTTGTGGTTCTATCGTGAAATTTTTATGATACACTTTAGGGCTATGTATTTTTACTGCTGTAACAAAAAGGGGCTTTGTCACAGTTAATTATAGTTTAAAGGGTTCAGCATGATTCAAATTCATTTTTTTTTTTTACATCATATGTGCTGCTGTTGGTCATTTGCACTGCCGTCCATGTACATTTCATAAGCTATTATGCATCTCATCACCAACATCCCTGCCAGATGGTCAGCATCACCAATCTTCTTGTTATTATTTGCACTACTGTCACTGTTTGCACATGGCTTTGAGTTTCATCATAGCCTATTAGGTCGTACTTTAATTCAGTTTTCATATGCTATTTATTCTGTTCATTCTTTTTTTATTCTATTTTAGTTTGCATGTTCAACATTAGGTGAGAGAAACAGTATTTAGATTTTTCTGTATGTCCTGCACATATAGTGAATTGACAATAAAAATCTTTGATCTTGATCTCAAGTCTACAACCAATGATTATATTCATTTACAATTAACGGTTAATTGTTCGGTCTATAAAATGATCAGCGTGAAAAAATGCACATCACGTTTTTGAAATCCAAGGCAAAGTCATTAAGTGTCTTGTTTTGTCCGACAAACAGTTTGCAACCCAAATATACTCAAATTTACTCACTGAAGACAAAGAAAAACAGCAAGTCCTTTAAAAAACAACAGTTGGGACTGTTTGACCTCTAAGCTCAATCCTGTGTTGTCCAAGCTCATTTAAAGGGAGAAGTAGTTATACCTTTTTGAATGGTCATGTGAGGGCTGATGGTGTCACCAAGAGGGACACCATCAGCACACACTTTCAGGCAGTCGCTCCTTGAAACATACTGTATTCATGGTGTTGCACTTGTTTATACAGACATACACATATCAACCAAAACATTATGACCACCTGCCTAAGGGCAGAGACACACCGAGCCGACATAAAAGAACTGGGACCAACGAAGTCCAACCCCTGCTTCGCCTCATGTCGGCTTTGTCTGGGCCAGCCGGGTTGAAAAAGTGACAGCTGAACACCGTGTTCTGTACCTGCATGCCTGAAATAACCAGCACTTGGCGGTATCTGTACCTGCCATTCAGAAAGGAGAAGAAGAAGAACTTAAATGTGGAATGTGGAAACAGCTGCTGTTTATAGCTGCTTCTAATTGAGAATATGTCTGATAAGAACTTGCAAATTTGGTTGTGAAAGAACAAAGGAGGTTATGGAGGTGAAAAACCACACTAAACTGGGTGAAATCATGGAAACTACAGGGCCAGGCTGGAGGGGCTTTTCAAAACTGTTCTCTTTTCATGCATTAATTTGCTAAACTCAAAAGCCAATCAGAGTGGTGTCTCTCTCACAGACGAGGCCAGAAAGCTGATGCCAATTCGACATGTCGAATCAGCCAAAAAGCCACCAATAGAAGCCGAGTAGCACCAACAGTGTGGGACACACAGGGGAGACGATCCCCGACAGACGCTCACTGACAGCCCAATGATGGCTGACGTCCGACTGTCAGCTTGGTGCGTCTCTGTCCTGATACTGTGTATACAGGAGTCATTACAGCAGTTCACTGGCACTTGTGTGAATCTGTTTGTTTCCATAGTTCTAGTGTTAGGAAGAGCACAAATGTGTTGACCATTCAGTGAAAAACTGTGGGACAAGTTAGAGATAATATTTTAGACAAAGTCAACATCCTCTCCACTCTAGGTGTGATATCACCACTATAGCTGCTGAATGTTTCTCTTTATAAACACCAATGTGCGGTGTTTCTCATTTTCAACCAGTTTAACAAAGATTCAAACAAAATAGAATTTTATGATAAGGACGAGTAGAATTTAAGTTTAATCTACAGTGGGTCAACCTCATCATCAGTGAACCTTAAGTGTCCATGACCCTGTTGCAGGTTCACTGGTTGTCCTTCTTTAGACCACTGTTGGTTGGTACTAACCACTGCAGACCAGGAACACCCAACGAGACCTGCAGTCTGGGAGATGCTCTGACCCAGTTGTCTAGACATCACAGTTTGGTCCTTGTCAAGGTCACTCACATCCTTATGTCTGCCCATTTCTACTGCTTCCAACACATCAACTTTGAGGACTGAATGCTCACTTGCTGCCTAATATACCCCACGTCACTGTAAAGAGACAATTAGCAATATTCACTTCACCTGTCATAATGTTATGGCTGACAGGTCTATGTTATACACTTGGGCCAGTCAGCGGTGTGAATGCTGGATTGTTGGTTTTGGAAAGTTACAAAAAAATGCCATATTCAGTTTAATAATGGAAAAAAAAAACTAAGGCAACTGTTTTCACACTTAAAATCTTGTCTTGACAATCCATCTTCTTTTGTTGTTGTAATTATCTTTCACACATGACAGTAACAATGAAAAACAATGAACTTATACTTAACATTGTATTTTCTCTGAAAACCTAATGGGGCCTGTTTTCATTACAGTTGTCATGCCTGATCTGAAATGTCAACACACAAGAAATGTTTTCACTAACTGGATATTAAACTGTCAAAAACTAACAGGAACACAGATCTACAAAACAATACTGTACATTAAAATCAAAATAATTGGTCTGGTAATACAATCTACCTTTTAAAAACAACACATTTTATATATAAGTGCATACAAACACACCCCAAAATGCTCATGCAGTCACCAACCCACACGCAACAAAGGACCCCCCCCCCCCCCCACCCCCT